TATATATATATATATATATATATATATATATATATATAAATAAATTTAATACTTTAGTTTAAATTCGACTGAAAAAAATTAATATTTCAAGAATATTATGAAAACATGAAAATTGAAGAAAATTGCAGTTTCTAATTAGTTGCGAAATTACTAATTTTAATTTTAATATTTTATTTTCTTACGAAAAAAATCGATATCAATCTTTTTATCGAAATAATGACAGAAATTTTAAAAATTCCGTAATGAGGATTATGCAAAATATATTACATAATTATTTCGACTACCACTTTGATCATCGAGAACTATAAATCATATAAATAAAACGATCAATACAAAAAAAAAAAAAACAATCAAAACGTTCAACACGTAATCATATTCTTAGAGTTCTTTTCTCCGATATGCCCTGATAAACTCACGCTATTTAAGCCGTATGAATGAATCAACGATCACTTATAATTAACGTTCCCGTAATGAATCTCACGTTCGTACTCCTGTCGCTTTTATTCATAGACTTTCCTTCGACGTAACTACCAGAGATAAATGGAACGATCGATTTCATTAATGAGTAATGAATAAAAGTTATAAACTACTTACTTTTCATGGTCGCTCGATTTTATCCATCGTTGCTCGATATCCCCTTGAGATCCTCCTTTTCTTTCATCCTTTCGTTGTCGTTGCTTCATGGTGGTCATGATGCGAAGCACTGACACTCGCGAAAATGACGATCGGCACTCATCAAAGAACGACTACGTTTAGAAAAAGTAGCTTTGCAACTGTTGTAAAATTTTTTAATATGATTTATATATTTGGATCCAGTAAGGAACAAAGGGCAATAATCAATCGTATTAAAAAATCTTATAACAGTTGCAAAGCTGCCTTTTCTGTTGAACTGTACTATTGCGATATTATATCAACGCACTACGATGTCACTCGATTCAGAGTTGGTCGCATTTTACATGCGATGTTTGTTACACTTTAAGATAACCTCTCTCTGCTGTCGCGCGACGTGATGTGAATCAATCCGATATCTAGAAAATCAAGATAAATCAGAAAATAAGTCGAAACTATATGTATTATCGATATCGTAATCTAAAATGCGCAATTTCGAAACATGTTTTTTATTAATAAATAAATTAATTAATATTAATTATATTTCCACACTTCTCGTTAATCTTTATCTCCCGGTAATTCGCATATTATTCCGCGTTTTTGAAAGCAAAATGTAAAAAGTATCACAAGAAAAATACGAAATCGGAGAAATGTTTCAAAAGCACAGTGATATATCCGAACTATAATGTCGTAAAATCGATTAAAATGTCGCACATGATGAAACAAAAACATCTTTATCTCGTTCAAATATTCTTCTCGTCCTTTCCATCCTCATTTCGAGTGAATGGATGCGCAATAATATTTGGGAAACTTCGAGAACAATTTCGATGCGAGTCGTCGAGAACGAACCGACGATTCTCCATTGTAATATAGCGAAGACTCGCGTTTTGTGTTTACCACGATGACTCGGACACAATAAAAACAAGGAATTAAATGCAAAGAAACACGAAACACCCTTGTTGGTAAATCTAAAAATTTGACCAAATATACATTTAAAATATCAGTAGTATATAATTTTATTGAACTCTCGAAATTATCATATACGACAGATTGCTAGAAAATTTTTGTAATATCATTATGTTTAAATATAATAATTTTGATGGTCCAACAAAATTATTTTCAGATTTATGTATATCTGACCGAAGTTTTAGATTTGTAGATGTGAAAACTATTCTCTCCATCTAGGAATAAAAAAATGATTTTAAATCAATAAAAAAACATGGTATATTTATTGTATGTTGAAGCGTGTCGAAATTCAATCCTCTATCCTTAATTTTCTATTTTGTTAATTCCTCGTTCAAAGTTCCCTTCATTGTGTCTGAGCCCTAAAAATTAATACACAGAAAAACGTAAGCAGTAAAATTGGGATATTCCGTTTCTTGCTTCATCATTTATTTCCTTGTTATTCACTGTATGTTAATTAACGATACATTAAGTGTATCGTGGAAGAAACGAAACACATCCTAGCAGTAAGCGAATCTGTTAATCGAGTTGAGAATTATCAAAAACGTAAAGCGTGGTCTACAATGGTAGCTATAGTGGATGAGTCGTAAGTCGTAAGAAACTGATCAATCACAGTTGATAATTCGGCTCACACTCGACTGTGATTGATCAATTTCTTACGATTCACTACTGCTCATTGTACACCATGCTTAAGATTATCATTTTAAAATTCTTGGTAAAGAGTGATAAATTCGTTAAAATCATACTCATTGTTAAAATCTTACTGTTTACGTCCTCCTGCGCGCTACCGGTCCGATAGTCCAAAAACTAATGCGCCACGCATCACCCCACCGCCGCCGCTGGCTGTTGCCCACCCCACTCCAAGGGCTGCGTCACCGAAAACGCGCACGAAAACAAACCTTGAGCGTTGTGTATACGACGGTCTTTAATTCCGAGAAAAATCATCTACCAACAACAATAACGAATCGGTTTGAACAGTCGCACGACCTACGGACGGATCATTGCTCTTCGAGCCGCGGTCAGAGCTGGTTAGTAGCGACGAGCGCGCGATTATTTTCTTACGACTAGTCTTCATTCCGAACTTTTATCTTCAAAATTTAATATTTATTTCTGTTTCTAATATTCCCTCCATTATGCGCGAGGCCTTACGATTAAAGATTCTATTCTCTCGAGAATTGTAACACGATTCGATCGTTATTATTGAATTTCATGAGCACATCGGGGATGTTCGTTGACGAGTTTGTATTTCTCCTTATTCTAATATTGTGATGAGATATCATATTGTATTTTTTATTAACATCGGGAGTGTCGATCATAATTCTAATCACGTGTAGTCTGTCCGTGTTAGTGTTTTGCAAGCTTCATTAAAGAGTGACATGGAGAGACGAGGGAGAAGTTCTCAGGAAGGCGGCATCATTGGACGGAGCAATGATGGAGTGATTGTGAGAGGTGAGTGCTTATAACTTATTTAACTTATTTTATTATAACTTATAACTTATCTTATTCATTACTGGAATTAATCGTACCGCTTATCTTCATGATGATTATGAAGGGAAATCTTTAAGTAAAAACGACGCGAGCATGTACATTATTTTACATGTAATTGTGATTTAATTAGTTATAAGTATCGGGAATTATTGATTCATTCGCGGTTTAAATCACGAAGTTTATTAGCGTATATCGAGAACTTTAAGAATACGATTGATCATCTCTTGATCGTCTTCGCTTTAAAAAATTTAATACTTGATTTAATCCAATAGCGATAATAGAAATAATTATTTATTTCACACAATTTTGCAAAATTTATTTAAAATCCTTATTCTTATTTTCACAAAAGGAATAATGTTGATCGTAAGAAAAATAAAATGTTTTTATCTTGCGATTCATTAACTTCGTTAACAATGAATCTTCTGAAAATATATTATCGTTTTTTTTCTTTTATTATTCTAATCTTAATCTTGTATTAATTATATATTTAATATTTTTAAAATGATCTTATGATCTATCAGTCGTTCGTACTTTTGTTATATTCATTTTAAATATGTATTAAAAAAATATTGTTTAAAAAGTATATTATTGCATTGAATCGGAATAAGAATTGAAAAATAAAGAGCTGAAAATGGAAAACAAAATCATATATTATGTCATTATCATAAAATATCATAAAATCATATATATATATTATATATATATATATATATATATATATATATATATGCATATCGAAAATTTATCTTATATACCGCTCTCTAAAAAATGAAATAGAAAAATATTTTCTATTTTCAAAACATTATTAGAATATTGCAGATACAAGAAGATAGAACAAATCTAAAGGATAAAAATCAATTCCGTGCGCGTTTAAAATTTAGTTTCATGAAATGGGTTCATGTCAATGCACCTTGCATCGTTTATTTTTTGCGGAAAATTCATGGCGTTATCTATGATCGAGAATTACACTTTAAGGAAACACTTAGTCGGTCTCATTGATGTCTTAATGCAGAACTCGCTCGAATCGCCGTTAAAAAATGTATATCGGTTACAATCGCGTTTATCATAAGCGCGGATTTCAGATATAGTCACGATAGCAAGGAAAATTGTCTGGTACAAGTAGATAATAATCTCGTAATCGACGCTGCTTGCGTATAATTATTGTGCCGCCACGATGTGGTATCATTTTTTGCGCAATGCATTTTCATGAAACGGGTGTTACCCTATATTGCGCTGTTATTATCCGCCATAGAAGCCACATAGAACCTTTCTCCGTGCATAACTTACGAAATCATTCCTACATCGCGAAACTATCTAAATTCCTTGTCTATCGCAATGATAAATTTCTTTTAATTTATTATTAGCGAGAACTGAATTATTATGTAATATTTAATGTAATAAAGGAAAAATAAAAACGATATATTGTAGAAAACATTAAATCGATAGCGATGCATTATGGCAAAGATGATCGTATGCAATCAGATGACGAGATTACGAGATGATCTAGGGAATGTTAAATCAATAACTTTATTCAATAGTTTAACAATCGCGGCGTAAAAGCCAGCTAAAAATCTTAATGCACATACAGCTGTATAATATAACTATACGTTAGCTGTATAATATGTACATTATAACAAAAATATTTAACATTTTTACGATTAGCAATAAGATCTTCTAAGCGCATTGTATTGTACTATCTTAGGCAGTAATACTTTACTAAACCAGGAAGAGGTCGTGTAAATTCAGATCGTCTTACTTTTCTCTTAAATGATGTGATAGAAAACGAGTTTAAATTTATTTGATTTTTCTTAGGTATTCTCTTATTGCTTATTTCATAGTTACGATTCTTATCTTGTATATTGTATAAAAAATTTTGACATTTGGAGATGATTTTAAGAAAACTTTCAAGCATCATTAAATCTTTAAATAATAGATTATAAAAAATATGAGTATATTCTTCAATATATAAGATCTTGTATCTTAAATGGAATCATTTCTTCAATTACAATATATAATATAGTTTGTTTAAACACGACCTCTCTCAGGTATTATATACTATACTTTTAATTAATTACGTTTTGCTAGTCATGTTTTACACCATATAGAGGCCCCTTTGGATGATATCCAGTCCGTTTTCTGTATGTAACATCCATCGCGCCTTCCACAGCATGATCTATAGGATGTATTATGAAAGGAATGGATGCCAAGCCAATAAGCGTAGGGATCCAAGGCTTCTTCCAAGCTGCTCTTGTACTTTTTCTTTGTGCAAACTGAACTGCCGCGCAAATTCTATTTATGGTAAAACCAGGTATTATTACTGATGCAAAGGCCTGCCAGATCAAAGTATCTGACGTGGACAGTAGGACATTTTTGGTTTTCTGTGACGTAGTATCTGTCTGTAACAATATCAAAATTACTAAACTGCTAAAAATCATTTCTATTTCATTAAATTTAAAATTCTTATTATACTTGATAGACTTTTGCACCCTTATGCACCGTATCCGCAAGAACGTATCCACTTGATAATGCATAACTGAACCATACAATGGACTTTGGTACAAGACTTCTGAATGCCTCTCCCACTTCATTCGCATAACCTAAAAATAGGAAATTATATTTTGTTAGAGAATATAAAAAGAACGTTTTTGAAATACCGTATTATTTTTATTAATTGTTTTGAGCTTCAATAATTAATTGAAAAAAATTGATAAAAATTAATTAAAAATAAAATACAAAAATAAAAATAAAAGAAAGTTAAAAAATAATACTTTCAATGATTCACCCCAGCGTACAGAATTATGAAGCATAAAATGGAAAAACATGACAGAAAATTTCAATAACATAGCTTAATAAATTTCTCGCCATTACCTAAATATCTTACATATGTGTCCCGATACAAGTCGACTTCTTTTCGATTGTTCATTATCCCAGAATTTCCAATTTTCTGACTATCTCCCGCGCGATGACATAACCTGTGGCAGACAATTAAGCCTTCGCGTTCAATGTCGAAAAGATTCTCGTCTCAGACATAAATATCGGCCGCTAAAATATTAAAAAAAAAATGTATTTCTTCTATTCTCAGATATTTAGAGACTTAAAGTTAACGATTATCAAATTTATGTACGAAGTTCATAAACACTGTTCCAAAACAAATTATATACTAAACATACATGAAGGCAGACAGAATTTAGATTTCGAGAGATCGATAAATTCCTATTGGCAATTCGATATATCTATCGATCTATTTGGATTTTTTGAAATTTATCTTATTACCGATAAAATAATAAAATTGTAAATCACAAGAGTTGCATGGTTACAAAAGTTACTTACAAAAGTTTACATGATTAGAATTTAAACAATTAGCTTCTTAATATTAATTTTAATATTTATTATATTAAATCTAATGTTTTTTAAACGTATATATATTTAATTTGATAATATATATATTTAATTTGATATATTTAATTTGATTTAATATTTTATTAAAAACTGCATTTTTTATAGTTATCAATGTTTGATATCTATGATATGTATGAAAAAAATTTATAATTTTGATTTGCGATATCACAGTATCATAAATATATATTTATTTATTAAGTATTTATATAACAAAAAATCATTAATTTACCCTATTCAAATTTTACATCACAATAAAAAATTTACAGGCAATAGTCGATAATATCAATAATCTTCAATTACCTCCGAAATTGCCTTGATAATCACAAAAATTTGCCCAAAGAATTGATAGTCTTTATTAATATCTTATCATTGTGTTTATTCTTAATTTGACTCTAACATTTAACATTTTGTTAACACTCGAATTACGAGACGAATTAATTATTTAATTAATATCAAGATTAATTAACCTCCAAGATTCTCCAATGATCTAGCTTTTAAAAAACAATTATTTAAAAAACAATTTCTTAAAATGGCAGTTTGTAAAATTAATTCACATTATTAACAAAAATATATATTTGATAATATATATTTATCTAATTTGAAAGCTCTCATATAGATTCTATATCTTCTACATTTTCCACTGTCTTGTTCTCACCGTTTTTCCTTCTCTTCGTTTTCCTCAGGTTCTCCTTACTCTTTAGTCGCGGAGTATCTAAAACGGCGACTGCTCAGATCGTCCCATCGTCCGTCCGAGCCAGACGCGACATAACCTCAAACTCGGTTGGTCTGCGGTGACGAGAACGCGCGGTCTCGCTCGCGGGCGATAACTCGCGCGTTATCGGCGACAATGGCGGGCCCGCGATAGTCGGTCGCGCGTCGCCGTGCACGCGAGAAACCTCCAGGATGATGACCGATCTGGAATATGCGCGGCTGTACCTCAGCCTGCAGATCAACGAGGCAGTGTCCTGGTGGTGTTTCTACATTCGCGAGATCTCGTGGCAGCTACTCATCGCCCTGCTGGCATACCTCTGCGTCTGCATCTTCCTCTATGCGATTCTCAAACGGGTGGGCCATGCCGCCTGGCAGCTACCGGGACCACCCAGCAGACTCCTCCTGGTCACCGCTCATCCCGACGACGAGGTGATGTTCTTCGGACCGCTGGTCTACTGGCTAGCGCGTACCAAGGCTAGCGAGATCTACCTGCTCTGCTTATCTATGGGTACATATCCACTGACGGGCTTCTGTCATCCAGAATCGCGAACGACGATCCGGAATAACCAGGCTAGATGTCGCAAACGCTGTCTATTGATGTTTACTAGTGTGCTTGCAGGTGGAGATCGAAGGAGGACAGACGAGCTGTGGGCGTGCACAAGGGTGTTGGGAATCCCAGAGGCTAACGTGACGATCATCATGTGAGTGTGTCTTAGGAAACGCCATCCACAATGCCATTCTCACATGTTTTAATAATTATTTATAAATTTTATTCTAATACTTTATTCTGACTGCATATTTAATGCTAAATGTGTGATAATTTTCATAGAATGGAAATTCATTTCATTTCGTAACGAATTCTTTACAGATTTTTAAGGCGCTTATTAGCACCAGAAAAATTGATTATTATTTTAATAATTGTGATACTGCAATTTCAGCTTTGACTTGAGACTATGTTTCAAGATTGGCGCATAGTTTACAAAGTTGAAAAAATGTATTGAATTTATAAGAAAATTTACATTGCACAATAACGGTAATCATTGATCTTCATGTTTTACTTATTGATCTAAACCTTAAAATATTTAATAATTTGTTTGCACTTATTCAATTTCATTTCGTGTTACAAATATGTGATGAAGATATCATAAAATAGATGTAACTATATCTTGTATAATAGTCGGACAAACAAATGTGCAGGAGCAGCGAATTGCCAGACGATCAAGATGTGCAGTGGCCAACAGACACGGTCGCGGAGAGCATTCTCCAATACGTAGAAATGTATAAAATCAATGCTGTCGTGACGTTCGACAAATACGGAGTGAGCCGGCATAAGAATCATATCTCCTTGTATTTTGCGATCGCCGCGTTGTGTATAGAAAAAAAGTACCTCCTTGTCAGTATCTCTCGCTTAATTGATACAAATACAGCAGGCTTGCGAGTAATGAGCCCAACCATGTTTCAGATTGCAAACTGTATGTGTTAGAGTCCGTTAATATAATCAGGAAGTACATTCAACTCTTAGATTTGCCCATCAGTCTACTCTCAGCCTCGTATTGGTATCTGGTGACGTATGAACAGAAGCGAACGATCAAAGTAAATCGGGATATGCTGCTCTCTTGTTACGGAAAAATAATTAATCATTCTTTTCCGACGCGAAAACTTCTAATATTATTTTTCCCTTGCAGAGTGCTATGGCCGCACACAAGTCTCAATATGTCTGGTTTCGAAAATTGTACATGATCTTTTCGCGATATACGTTCATCAACACTCTTCAAGAAGTCAGTGCCCTCGATCTGGAGCTGGATCTCCAGTTCGACGAGGACTGAGCATTGCTCGACGAACGAAGAAATGTACAAAATATAATATTAACTGTACATACTTTGTCTACCAGTGAATATTACGTTAATGTAAATTATATGAAATGAAAACTACGTACCAAAGTAATTAACACGAAAACTTTGAAATATATAGAGCCATACTTGATAAGCGAGAAATATTTTTTTATTCGTTAATATAATAGAATATACATAGCAATTATTTTCAAAACGAGAACGCGGCACGCGGCTTTTACATCGTAACAAAAAATCAATTTTCTTTAAAGGAAAAAACAAAAAGATACTGCATGCCGTTTTATCCTTGTCTATACAACCTTTTGTAGCTGCATATATTTCGGACTATTATTTGATATGTTATATCTTTTACTTATCAAAGAGGTATATATATATATATATATATATATATATATATATATATATATATATATATATATATATATATATATAG